TTTTTTTTTTTTTTTTTTTTTTTTTTTTTTTTTTTTTTTTTTTTTTTTTTTTTTTTTTTTTTTTTTTTTTTTTTTTTTTTTTTTTTTTTTTTTTTAATAAATATACATGCTATTATTTTATAACTACTTAAGCAAAGAGGTTCATTCATACAGCTCATTAATAAAAAAATAAAAAAAAAATCTCATTCCATTTCACTCCTCTCTCGTCCTCCTCCCTCACAGCTTATAAGCCTCCTTCGCCGTGCCCCCAAAAATCATGGCCCGCTCCTCGTCGCTCAGCGACCCCATGTAGCACATCTTCTCGACGACCTCCCTCCACTTGGGCCATGCCTCGTTCAGCTCGTCCTTTTCCTCCTTGTCGAAGCCGACGGCGCACACGGGCCAGTCGCTGGCGAACATGATGCGGCCGGGGCCAAAGGTGGCGAGGACGACGCCCAGCCAGGAGAGCGTGGACTGGAAGATGTGCGAGGGGTCCTGGTCGCGCAGGGCGGGGGTCATTTCTGCGAAGCCGCCGGAGAGCTTCATGTAGGTGCGGGAGCATTTGCCAAGGGAGAAGATGGCGGTGCGCCAGGCGGTGAAGGAGGGGTCGGAGGAGACGTTGTAGACGGTGAGGTCGGGTTTGCAGAGATGGTCTGTTTTGGAGTGGTGTCATGTTAGTTTAGTTGTACACATATAAAGTATGCATATAAGTAGGTATGTATGTTAGTTATATTGAGACACAGAGAGAAGACTTACTGATGATGAAAGTGACCTTTTCCTCGTCGGGGACGCCCTCGTGTGCCCGTCCAATCATCTCCACCGTCTCTTCCAGCTGCTTTCTGCCCCGGCGGTGCTGGTCAATGGCCACTTCGAAGACGAAGCCTCGCTTGCCCAGGTACTTCAGCCCCTCGATGAACTTGTCCTCCAGCATCGTGCCGTGCGGCTTGTCCTGCAGGAGGTACCTAAACCCCTTGATCTTGGGCCAAGCCTCGCCGGCCTCCTCCTGGACTCTCGCAATGTAGCGCTCCAGAATGTCTGCGCCGCAAATCACCGGCGCCCACGGCACAATGGCCAGGCAGAGCGCCTTGTCTTCCGGGGCGTGGCCCTCGCCTTCCAGAGGGGTGCCGAGCGCGACGCGCTTCAGCCAGCGGACCTCCTTGAGGGGCCCATCCCAACCTGCCTCGACGGCGGCGTCGTCGCCAGAGGCGATTGCGGCAATGTCGTTTTTGCGGTCAGTCTCGACGAAGATGAAGCCGAGGAGGGACGGGGCGGTGCGGGTGGCGTGCTTGTACTGGTCGACGGAGAACTGGCCGGAGAGCGGGTGGTCGGGGGTGCACCAGGCGAGGTTGGGGACTTCGGATTCGGGGTAGATGTGGATGTGGGAGTCGATGATGGGGAGGACGAGGCGCTCTTCGGGGGTGGACATGGCGGGTGTTGGTGGTGGTGATGGCTGGAGATGATGGGGGGATGGATATCGGTGAGAGAGAGTGAGAGAGAGAGGATGATATTTGGATTGGATGTGTGTTTGCTTTGTTTATTTGAGTTGTTTACTTGGGACTGAGATGGAATTGACAAGCCACAACGGATAATAACAAGAACAAGAACAAAAAGGGAGAAGGATATTTTATTCTATATATGAAAATCCAAACGCATCTCGAACGTTGCTACCCCGAGCTCAGCTCATGGAAGCTCCCCTTTTTATTTACTTATACCCCGCCATGCTGCAGACTGAATCGCCCCTGAAGTTCCATGTGGGGGGGGAGTGACGTCTCTGGGCTTAAAAGTGCCGTACAGTATAGAAGAAGTGGGGGATTGAAGCCCAAAGAGAGTCATGCTGCCTGGCAAAAGAGTGCGTGTATAGTGTATAGGCGGCCTTTAACCCGAGGGGCCGGAGGGCATTAGGGGATTGGAGAAGTTAAGTGGGAAAACTTGTGAGATTTTGGAGGGGGTTTAGTTCCAGTCGCGCGGGAGCAGGTGAATTAGCAGTGATGGTGGCTGAGGAGAAGACAGATTGGTGGAGCGTGGTGGCTTTTGGTGGCTGCGCGCTAGGAGTTATTGTTGGTTGTTTATATATGCGACGGGTATTTTGTGGTTGTGTGTGAGATGGTCTGATAGAGCATACTAGTTCTACTATCTAGGTGGATATATAGTTTTGAGCCTCATGAGAAATAAAAGAAAGAATTGTTTAATTTGTTTGTTTGTTTATTTCGGGCAATGAATGGCTATCCAAAGTGTAGATGATTGCTGTTGTATAGCTAATACAATCTCATCGATGGATACATATATATATGTCCGAGTCCAGCGCTCTTATATCCAAATCTAGCCATCATGATCCTTCTTCTACCCCCTCTCTCATCACAGTGAATTCTCAAGCTCTATCAACCCCCCCACCGCAGCGTCCACCTCGCCATCCAGCTTGGCCGCATCCACGGTGCTCCCCAGCGGCCGCCTGCTCCTCCCGCCGCCATAGCCGTAGTACTTCTGCAGCGCCGCCTTGATGCCCGCGATGCCCAGCTGCACCAGCGCCCAGTCGGCCCTGCTGAAGCGCGTCTGCAGCTCCTGCGCCTCCTTGAGCCGGCCCTCGTCGTACAGCCGCAGCATGTGGCCGTGGGCCTTGGGCAGCAGGTTGGCCGTGGCGGCGATGACGCCGTGCGAGCCGCCCACCAGGCCGTGCAGGAAGAAGTCCGTCTTGCCGGCAAAGGCCGCAAAGGGCCGGGCGATGCGCGGGTCGTGGGCGATGCGCTGCAGCTTGCCCATGTTGCCGCAGGTGAGCTTGCAGCCGACAATGTTGGGGTTGGCGGCGGCGAGGCCGATGATCATGTCGGAGTCGAGGTCGATGCCGCCCGTGACGGCGGGGAAGTTGTAGAGCAGGATGGGGATGGGCGAGGCGGTGGCGACGTCGTTGAAGAAGTTGAAGATGACGGGCTTTTGCATTGCGCCGACTGTGTGTGCGCGCGGTTAGAACAGCTTGAACTCTATGAAAACTTGACATGGACGTCTTCTTCTCACCCCAGTAGCTCGGCGACAGCACCAGCGCATAGTCTGCGCCCGCCTCCTTGGCCTCCTTGCACAGCTGGATCGTCTCTCTGGTGCTCTGCACGCCGCAGCCGGCAACTATGACGGCGCCTGGCTTGCCGTGCTCGTCGAGGACCTGTCGCGCCAGTCGGAGCACCTGCTGGCGCTCTTCGTGGAGCATGTGCATGGCCTCGCCGTTGGAGCCTTGGATGACGAGGCCGTCGACGCCGCCCTTGGCCAGGCGTGTGAGATGCGCGCGGATCGCATCAAAGTCGATTGTCTCGTCCGGGTTGAAGAAGGCGACGGCGGGGACGTAGATGCCGCGAGGGGGGCAGGGAATTGAAGCAGCCATGGCGGTGGTGGTGATGGTGATGATGATGCTGCTGCTATGTGGTGTTGCTACCGCTGATTTCCGCCTCTTCTGTTGCGTCTACACCTGGGACAATCGCCTTGATGAGGGGCCAAGTAATCAGCTCTATCCAATGCTTCCAGAACCCATCTCATTCCAGCAATGCTTCTCGTCGGCTCAAGGAATTAACACCATTTGGCGCCCGATTGCGGAGACCCATCCCGCCGTGTAAGTGGTTCTGCTAGAATGGTAATTACCCCTCCATCTCCAAACCGCCAGCGGATATTTTTCCTACGTATATGTGGATGGGATGGCTCATCTTTCTGCCGCTTTCATGATTATTACCACATAGCAATGGGCAATTGCAGGCATTATGAGCGAAGCGCATATCAAGGCCGAGATACGCTCCCTCCTCTATGTCGGCTTTTTTTTTTTTTTTTTTTTTTTTTTTTTTTTTTTTTTTTATATATATATATGCCGATGACAGAAACGGTTTGGCGAGTGTTTCGTTGACATCTTGCAGTGAGTGGAAGATGGTAGCGAATAATAGTCGATGCGTTTGATGGGAGATGCTTGCACGTTGGACTGCCTTTGACTGACGACACAAGGCAAACAGCAGTGAAACTGCAAAGATGAGTTGCGCAGCACAGAGGATCAAGACGCACAGTCTTGCTGTTTCCTAACGCCGAACCGCCATCAAGGAACCAGAGGATATAGGATATATGAGCAGGTATTTGTGTGAAGCGCCCTTCTCGTCGGAATCCTTCGCTCCGGCATAGCCAGGCCGCCTAATATCCTAAACGGCGGACATAGCCAGAAGGAAAAAGTGGAACAGCCCTTTGTTTCTGCTAGCGCCGTCGGCCCCAGAAATCGGCTCGGCAGGCTGCCGAAAAGTTTTGGTGGGGAGCAAGACTTAACACCGAAAACGTTGAATGGCGTTAGGCTCAAGAGCTGAACGTGACCGCTGCGCTCTTCGTGATGGCTTCGGACAAGGCGGCGAAGGAACTAGAAGAAATCCCTGAGATGAGGACGTTTGAGGGTTTCATTCGGAGATGTGAACTGCGCGTGTTTTCCTTGCAAAGCCCGAGCAGAGCCATCTAGGTATGTGTGTGTCTTTAGATTGCTTCCTTTGTGAAGATGAATATAAAAGGCGATGAGAAGGCTCTCTCGGTCCATCGGCTTGAATTTGCATACCCAATCCAGCATCAAATACCCCAATCATATTCAATACCAGTCCATCAAACCCAATTGCCTTACAAGGCCATACAACTTACATCTGATAGCCATACATATCAAGCTATAATACTCGGCTGCTCAACACGCAACATCTAATAAGCTCCAAAAAAGCCACAGTAAGCAAAAAAGCAAGCTTAAATCACAACCATCATGGCCGTCACGCCCGTCTGGTTCATCACCGCCGCCTCCTCAGGCTTTGGCCACGCCATTGCCGTCTCCGCCCTCCGCCGCGGCCACATTGTCATCGCCACGGCCCGCAACCCATCCCGCATCCAAGACCTCGCAGCCGCAGGCGCCCACACGCTCGCCTTCGACGTCACGTCCCCCCTCTCCACCATCGAGGGCGTCGCCAGGGATGTCTTTGCAAAGCACGGCCGCGTGGACTACCTCATCAACACTGCGGGCTTCATGCTCGAGGCTGCCATCGAAGAGGCCACCCCCGAGGAGGTGTACGAGAGCTTCAACACAAACGTCTTTGGCGTGACGAAGACGATCCGCGCGTTTCTGCCGCACATGCGCGCGCAGGAGCTGGCCGACAATGGAGTCCGCGGCGTGGTGGCCACGTTTGGCAGCCTGGGCAGCTGGCGGGGCGGTGCTGGCGGAGGAGTCTATGCCATGACCAAGTGGGCGTGCTCTGCGCTGGCTGAGTCGCTGGCTCCGGAGCTGGAGCCGTTCAAGATCAAGGCGACGGTCGTGGAGCCGGGCTACTTCCGCACTGGGTTCCTCAACCCGGGGACGCTGGTTTCGTCCAAGGTGCGCATTGATGCGTATGAGGACGAGAGCACGCCCACGGGACAGATGAGGAGGCGCCTCGTGGCGACGGATGGAAATCAGCTGGGCGATGTGAACAAGGGGGCCGAGGTTGTGGTGGATATGCTGTCGGGCACGGGCGTTGCAAAGGGGCGCGAGCTTCCTGTGAGGGTTGTGCTGGGGAGTGACACGGAGCAGGTGATTCGGGGCAAGATTGAGAGCACCAACAAGATTCTCGAGGAGTGGAGTGAGGTTTTGAGAAGCACCGACCATCCTTCCAGCTAGGCAAGGGGGGTGTCTGATTGGTTTAGTCCGCATAAAAGTTGGCGTATCTGCGCAGTCGCCATACATAGGTACATGTGTGGAATATGATGGTAATAGGTAATGCTTTCAAATTCGTTAACATATATTTGTCTACTTATGCCGTCGTGAACGCACTAGCATCGTCCCTTTCGTTCATATCATCCATACGGTTGCATCAAAAAGCTGTCAACCTTATTTCATGATTATTCTAAGTCGTAACCTCTCCTCCCCCCCCCCAAAGAAAAAAAAGTAGAATAAAACTCCGTGCTCATTGAAAATCAAAATCCCTCAAAGACCCAAAGCGCCTCGCAGAATCTGCATAAACTTCCAGACGTCCTCAAATCGGCTGTATAGCGGCACCGGTGCCACGCGCAGCACGTCTGGCTTCCGCTTATCGCACATCACTCCGTGGGCCTCCAGTGCCTGGGCGATGCTGTCCAGGAGACCCTCTCGCAGCAACACACTCAGCTGTGTGCCACGCCGGGCAGGGTCTCGAGGAGTGATGATCCTGAAAAAGGGCTGGGCGGCGTTGGAGTCCGCATTGATCTTGTCCAGCAGGTGCTCGGCATAGGCCGTCAGCACGAGGGCCTTGGACCGCAAATCGTGCATGCTCGTCTTGTTGAAGATGGAGAGCGCCGCTGCAACGCTGGCCAAATCCAGGGCCGATGGGTTCGACACCTGGAATCCAGCTGCGCCCGCCGTAGGGACAAAGGTATTGGCCATGTTGAAGCGGACCCGCTTGTCGCCTCCGTACCAACCCGCCAGACGTGGCCGGTAAGTTGGGTTCTCGGGATCGTTGGTGAAGTCGACTTTGCCATACCTCTCGTGCACGAACGCACCGGCGGTGGCTCCCGGCCCCGCGTTGATGTACTTGTATGTGCACCAGCAAGCAAAGTCGACATCCCAGTCGTGAAGCTTCAGTTCCACATTACCGGCCGCATGGGCGAGGTCCCATCCGACCACAATTCCCCGCTCCTTTGCGTAGGCTGTGATGCGGGGAATATCGAAGAGCTGGCCCGAGTAGTACTGGATACCGGGGAGCAGAATCAGGGCGGTGGATTCTGCATGCTCATCAATGGTGGCCAGCACCTTTTCTGTGGAGATGATAAAGTCGTCGTCCGGCTCAATTTTGATCATGCTCTTGGCCGGATCATGGCCGTGCCAGACAATCTGGCTCTCAATGGCATAGTGGTCGCTGGGGAAGGGCTTCCACTCCAGAATGACCTTGTGCCTCTTTGCGTCGGGCTTGTAGAAGCTAGCCATCATCATATGCAGATTCACCGTCAGGGTGCTCATGTAGACAATCTCATCTGGAGATGCACCAACGAGATCGGCAGACTTTTTGGCGCAATCTTCGGCCATGTCTTGCCATTGAACCAGGGGCGACTTGCCCATATCCAGGAAGTGGCCATTGACGCCGACTGACGCCCAGGTTTCTAGCTGGGCAAGGACATGCTCCCGTACGGCCTTTGGCTGGGCGCCCAGCGAGTTGCCAACAAAATAGATGCCCTGCTCGGCGTCTGCTGATGTCCCGTTGACTCCGTTGACACTGTTGGTGCCATTGTTCAGCTCGCCTGTAGCATCCAATTAGCATCTCGATTGGCTCATCATACATATGAAATACAAAAGAACAAGAACAAGAAGGGATGATCCATGTCAAAGGGCATTGATAATGGTGCCGCAACGGCGTTTGATTGGACATACCGGGAATGGTGCCATCCAACGCTCGTTTTTTCAATGAGCCCTTGGTGGGTAGAATGAACTCGTCTCGCAGGTGTCGCAGCGAATCCTGGGAGTCTAGCTTCTGGGCAAATTGCAAAGAGTCTGCGTCCGCCGGGAACTTGGGCGGGGCGCCGCTACGGAGGCGCTCGACAAACGCTGACAAGTCCATATTGTTGATGCTGTTGGCCCTGCTATTGTTGATGCTGCCGTTACCAAGAAAAGTCAAGTTGCGGGCTCTGGCTCTGGGGCTGAATGCAAATGCTCTATTGAACGCCCTCGTTGGTTTGGGAAGCTGCTTTGGGGGCTGAAGTCTAGCGAGAACAGACATTGTTGCTGTTAGTGGCTTTGGTAATCACTTTATGCTTCCACGGCCCGGCGGCCCCTCCAAGAGCCAGAGCTGTTGTTCCGCGCCATGCCTCGAGTCCGTGTGCCGCCTGGAGGAAAAAAAGACGCTCCGTTAGGCAAACAGACAGCCATGGCCGCAGATAGAGAGAGACACCAGCGGAGCTGTTGGGCCTATTGTAGCCGCAGCCGCAGCCGCCCGTTCCGGCATGATTCATCCGCACTTCCGCGATCCGAACTTCCGCGATCCGTCTGCCGCATCATCGCAGCACGGCTGACGAATGTGCTGCTGTGCCGCATCCTGATTGCTGCCCTATTTGGCAATGATGTCGTATATGACTTCCGTGGTGGATCCCGGCCACGGGGCTCGCCAGGATGCCCGGCTCAAAAGACTTCTCCAAGACTCGCTAGGCTGATGCATGCACTTCTCCTTACCCAACTGCACCTCTCCTCGACGGCACTAATGAGTAGCAGCGGAGCTTCGGATGAAACTCTCTAATCGCGGATGGCGGATGGAAGGATGCTGAGGTCTAACGCCCGTATCTGCCCCCTGCCCCCTGCTGTCTTTGTTGTTGTTAGGCCCCGAATTGCATGGATTAGAGGTGCAGATCACGGATCGTGGCAGAGGATGGCTTCTGCTGAACAATATTACGGAACTACTCGCATGGCGCAAAGCTTTCTCATTCCACTTCTGCCGCTAGCATTGATTGTTCCTGACCGCTCCCACTTGCGAGAACTGTCATATAAGGCCTTTAGCTGCCCCGTGTTCCGCCAATCTCAGTACTATAGAGAGCCATCAACTCAAGGAAGCAAACTGAAGCAACACGGTTTTACCATTTCCAACTCCTCAGTTTGTTGATCACCTCTATATAATACTACCAACAGCGGTGTCCATCATGTCTCCACACGCTGTTGATTCACAGACTTTGGGCCAAAGTGACCCCTGGGAGCTATCCAAGTTTGCCGTCACAAAAAATGCCTTCCTGCCTGAGGACAGCCCGCCCAACATGTTGTCGGATCCTTACTACGAACCGTGGGAGCTCATTGCCCATAACCTAGCAGAGCTCATCGAGACCCGCCGTATCCATGATGCTATCAGAGATCTCCCCGTCCTGTCAACGGACTTGCTCAAGTCTGAAGCTGAGTGGAGGAGAGCCTATGTTATCCTGGCCTTTTTCACTCATGCATATGTGTGGGGTGGAGAAAAGGCTGAAGAAGTATGGCTGCCGCACATGATTTTCTATTTTATAACCATAATATGGACTTGACACTTATATCTATTTCCTGTTTATAGATTCTCCCAGCCTCAGTTGCCGTTCCGTTCCTCAGCGCCTCCGCCCACCTCGAAGTCCCCCCCGTCTTGACCTATGCTGCCTGCAACCTGTGGAATTTTAGCTGCTCAGGAGACGACTTCTCCAAGCTGGAAGACCTCAGTACTCTGGTCTCCTTCACTGGAACCGAATCCGAAGCTTGGTTCCTCCTGGTCAGTGTTGCCATTGAGGCTACTGCTGCGCCAATCATCCATACCATGCTTCGCGCTCTTGAGGCTGTCAAGGTTCGCGACTACCAGGTCATCACCAAGGCTCTGGAAGAGTTAAAAGTTGGTATTGAGAACACCAGTGCTCTCATGGAGAGGATGTATGAGCGCTGCGACCCCATGGAGTTCTATTACCAGATTAGGCCCTTCCTTGCCGGCAGCATGAACATGGAGGATGCCGGTCTGCCAAACGGTGTCTTTTATTCTGAAGGAGATGGCAAAGGAGAATGGCGAAAGATTAGGGGTGGAAGCAATGCACAGAGTTCGCTGATCCAGTTCTACGATGCTGTCCTCGGTATCGAACACAATGGCCACTCGGAATCTGAAAAGAGCTTCCACGACGAGGTCCGGGAGTACATGCCAGGTCCTCACGGCAGATTCCTTGTGCATGTAGCCCGTTCGGGCAGCCTCCGCGGATTGGCCCTCGAGACACCCGTCCGGGAAGAGCAGCACCGCCTCAGGGAGGCCTACACGGCCGCGGTAGATGCTCTCACCGAGTTCCGGGGCAAGCACGTCAAGCTCGTGACAAGATACATCATCATTCCCTCCAAGAAGCCATGGGCCGGAACTACCCGTAGAAATCTGGCCAGCTCCTCGTCGAAAAAGCGAGGAGAGGGACTGATGGGTACCGGAGGCACTGAGCTCATACCGTTTCTACGGCAGGCAAAGGTCGAGACAGAGGTTTCCAAGATTGAGAAGCCCGAGAAGGCAGAGAGGCCCGAGAATCCCGAGAAATCATGAACCTTTTCAGGATCTTCTCATGATCACTTTTTCCTCACTTAAAGACCGAACGAAAATCTCAACATGTATGAAACAGGCGTTTTGGAAGGCTGTATTTTTCTTTTTTTCCTGTTTAAAAGCAGGCGGATAGCGAGTGTTTACATTTGGGTCTAAGAGGTAGAAGATGCAGTACAGGGCTTATCAGATATATATAAGAACATGTAGATATTAGAAGCGGCACGTATGTGCCTTATGAGAGAATATGAATTACATACTATGACAAAGTTCTCGTATATAGTTACTATCAAGAGTTCCCAGTAATTTTACAGGCAACTTCCCTGTTCAATGTCTGAACTTTCGGTATATGGATTCGAATTAGCTCTACTAATGAGACCGAAATTTTATTTAGCCCGTGAGTCAGTGAGCCAAAGCCCCTCGGTGGCGCCGCCGCCGCAAAAGACTCGGCAATCACTCGCTATGTCATAATATGTGCTGCAGAACAATATACGCAATGATGTTGACCTCAATATTTCCTCGTCTGCAAGGCCGTCTCGCAATCGACTTGCTTGGGGGTTAAAAATGCTGCTATAAAATGCCCGCTGCCCAAGCTGGTTCTGCACGATATGCATGTCACGCGTCCTATGAGATGCCATTATGCAGTTCAAAGTGGCGCTCCAGGCTGCGGAGACGCTGTGCCCCGCTCAGCTACAGGCACGTTTAGCCCCTAAGCACTGTAGCTGTTGCTGCAAAACAGAGCCAGCAGAGCCAATTAGCGCCTCGTTATCGCCTAGCGGAAAAGAGCGGTGACGACGTTTTTTTTTTCCATTGCATCTCAGGATCCTGTCAATGCTGGCCTGAAGCAGTTTAGTGACTCACTCTGGCCTAGCTAGGGGCGAATCAGATCGCAGACCCCACCATGAGACTAAAAAAAAAAAAAAGTTTGGGAATGAACGTCTGGCAAGAGGTACCTGGTACAATGTATTTCACTCGCGGGGGCCTTCAAGATTTTTTTTTCTCTCCTCTCTCTTTTGCTGCATCTTCCGCAATCAGCTTCAAGCCAGACAACGAAGTCGCCCTATAGCCCAGAATTCACATTCAGAGTCAACCCAGTCAGAAACTTCGTCGAACCACAATGCCTTCGGCCGTCGCTGAGCTGTAAACGCCCACTGCGGGTCGTGCCCATCACGGCTCGCAGTCCAGCAGTTCAACGAGTCTAATCAACAACATCTTCGACGACAAGTTTTCCAACAGGTTTTCCCGCTATTGAGCTCGCATGCTCTTCGAAAACCTGTCTCTGAACCGCCAAATTCTGCTAGTTGCCCGCTTCGATAGGGCCTTCAACGTCTCAATTGCTGGAAAAGTTTTCAACAACTCAAGTCTTTGACAGCCATTGCCTTCACGCGGTCCCCTGCAACCCTCCCTACAATCAACAAATTATATTGCACAGCATACAATTCGACACTTAAGCATATCGATTTGAAAAACAAAAAGCTATACGAAAAGCATTGAAAAAGCATAGATCATATTTACGCTGTATCTATTGATCTGACCATCTCTCGCTTCAGCACAAAAAGCTCTTTAGAGCTAGCCCCCTTGTATAAGAGAAAATTTCCCGACCCACAAGTTCATCTGAATACAAGTCTTTACATAATGTCTCGCAATATTCGTCAAAAGTATCCCGCAGCTGCGGCTAAAGCCCAAAAGCGTCGACGTCTTTCGGAGTCGTCGTCCTCTATCGATCTCTCTGATGATGAAGGCTACTCAGCTGTGGAAGATATTAGCGACTCTGAGGACAACGATGAGGAGGATGTAATAGCGGTCGAGGAGGAAACGATACTCTTAGAGGGTTTACCTATTTCCTCTCACGCTCCTCGACCGCTGTCGGATGACGAAGATGAAGAAGATGGAGAAGAAGAAGAAGACGAAGCTGATGAAGAAGAGGAAGAGGAAGACGAAGATGCCGACAATGCAAGCTGGGCCGGCATACTGTCAGATGTTGAAGATGGCCAAGCATCTGATTTCTATCACGACTCGAATCCTCTAGTCTCGGACCCCATTATAGAACGACACGTCCGTTTCGACGTACCGGATAGCGACTCAGATTCCACTGAAACAGAAGACGACCACGCCGATCTTTTCCCTGACATCTTTGTCTCACAGAACTCTCTCGACCCTGCTTTCCGCAAAGAGATTGAACATGATACTGATGAATCGTCCGGTTCCAACTCATTTTGGGATTATCATGGTCACTACGAAGAAGAAGGGGGAGACGACTCGGAGTCAGAAGCCGAGGAAATAGTACGGCAACTCTCGGATGACGAAACTGTAGCTGCCGTGCCGACTCCTGATGCTACCAATGTGCCGGAAAGTTTTACTCCTACCTTTGAAGAATCCCTAGAGCTTGATGGATACGAGTGTGAGTCCTACTACTTGAAGCGGGACATGGGTGCCCTTTGCTGCCTTTTACTAACACCAATGATTCAGCTGATGGCGACACCACTGATGAGGAAGACATTCCTGAGCCTGTCATCCGGAAGAAGGCTCGACGTCTATCTAGTGCAGTGAGTGACGAAGCTTCAGACTCTGAGGCGGATTCACCCGTCAAACCAGAGCGCGGCCAACCTCGCGTGGGACGCTTCAAGCTGGATCGATCTGATAAAAAACCCATCGCCGTCCTCAATCCTCTGACTCGTAAGATGATGATATTTACTCCTCATCGACGGAGACATCTCGACTTGTCACCGGAGCAGTTCAACTTTCCCTGGGCGATAGAGGAGCAGGCAACTCCGCTGCTCAGCGACTCCGCCAACATGATGCTCAGTGCCATGTTCTCTTCCAATACATTCGGAGACTTTATCAATGCTCAAGCAATGGGACCTGCGGAAGCATTCTTCCCCTTCCCTGCCGAGACCAACGGAGATGATAGCTCAACATCTCCAAGCACGGATGGCGAGGATGAAGATGAAGAGAAGCTTGATATCAACGATTTTATCACGTTTGGTGAAGCTGCCAATGACGAATCATCTGGTGATGAAGGTGAAAACGACAAATGGGGTGCATCCCCGAAGCGTCCAGCCACGGCTTCTGGTGATATGGGAGCGCTGTCACATCTCAATTCAGATACTGTTGGCGCCTTCCGCCGCAATCAGATTAACCAACAGCTGATCCTGAGTAACCAAGCAACTCAGGACTCACTAGCTTTCAGCGGTCCATATAACTACACCGCTCTTCGAGGCCTTAAATCTGACCGTTTCGATACTGCGGCTGTGCCTTTAACACCCATCCGACGACATAAAAAACAAATAAACGAATCGACCCGGGGCTCTCTGGAGTCAACCTCGACAAAGCGTAAAGCTTCGGGCGAAGCTGGCGGAAGTAACCACAAAAGGCACCGAAGCATTTCTGACGTGAACTATCTACGGATATAATGCGTATAGGAAGCTGCGCATGAAGCTACTAAATACGAGCGAGGACGGTGCATAGACGTGCCCCTGGCCTCAACATCTGACACATTCATTTTGGCATCTCATTTCATTTTTTTCTTCTCCATTTTTGAACAATTCAACGAAGACTCGATATTTCGTCCCAGCGTTTACGGAAGTTGACGGCTTCTCCTTCGGGTAGACGGCGTAGGCAGGAAATGGTCTTGGAAACAAGCTATGTCGTTGTCGGGATACTAAACACGGTTATAGGAGAATCTCTCTGGGAACAAAAGCATTAGAGGCTCATATTCACACCAAAAGTTTTTCTTTTCTTTGTGGTGCCCAAAACAATGCAGGCGTGCTTTGGTCTTTGGGTTATAAAAGTTTCCCTTCTGCAATTGCCGCGATACTAATGACTTAATGCCCATCAATGTGTGGAGAAAAGGAGTACATCTCATTTTGAGCCATGACTTTCTCCAACTCTTTACATGCACAATGAATGGTCTGAGAATCTCTCATGACCTTTTCTTCATTCGCTTTCTGTATTATTGCTATCGTTTCCTTAGTATGTACGAATTGAATTGAGAACGTTTGAAAGTTAAACTTTTTTCCCTTTGTGTGCATCTCGCTTATAACCAACCCCTTGCAATGTGACATTGTTAGGCGACGAACTCACAGGGATCTGAAGCCCAGCTCATCGCTAATCCTTGACCCAAAAAAAGAAAGAAAAAGGTAAGGCTAGCAAGGGTTTCACGCAGAATCGGATCTGACATGGCGAATTAAGAGGTGGTAGAAGAAGAAAGTAAACAAAAAAGGAAAAAAAAATAAACATAAGTCTAGTCCGATCTAGCCAGGACTCGAACCTGGAACCTTTGCCACCGGAAAGCAACGCGCTGCCATTGCGCCACTAGACCAATAGATGGTGATTGAGAAAATTATTTAAGTATATATGCACCAAGGTAATTGCGTGCTTTGACTGATTGATGCTTTGTTGCGGGGTCGGCCGAGAGAAGAAGGACATGTTTGGGTTTCTCACATTGATTGTTTCTTACATGCGCATGTGGTTGGTATTGAATGCTATGAATGTGTTTGTTTACTTTATAATTGAACAACTTCATTCCATGCACCAACTCTCTTACCCCGTATGCGTCTATGCTTTCTAAATATAGACACATGTCTATTTATTTCTTTTACTTACGCATCCGAAAGCCATGAAAGGAGGTACCTAATACAATAAGTACTGGGCAGTTAAGGTGGAGTAGGAGCTTGAAATCTGATGAAGTACCGTTGACTTTCTGATAGCGGTAAAGGATTTGACTGACTCACCGGACACCTTGTGACCCTGGTTAGGCATGTTACGATACATACATGTAAATAAGCTGATATCGTTGGGTAGCATTATGCTGCCGACGCGGCTGTTGCGCCCGTTTTTTTTTTTTTTTTTTTTTTTTACATCCTTGGGTGGGTTTTTAGACACGTCAAACCGCATACTTGACTCAATGGGCATCTTCAGTAGTAGTAGTAGCATGTAAACGTTGATTAGGAACTGACCAATGTGGATGCCTTGTCTTGATCTGAGAAGAGCTAATGTAAGATATGGCCACGAGTCTTATCATGTATGTAGCCAGGTGTTCCCGTCGTTCTGAGTGGCAGACAGACCGAACGGGACGGGTGCTTGGTGTAAGTCGAAGTGGAGAATGAATCCCACACGAATAGGGATGCAGCCAACCTCCGAGACTTGGCTTACGGCTGGCGGAGAACGGCAGAGGTTATGCAAGATAGCGGATGGCATGTTGTGAGGGACTATCCACAGAGTACATACATACGATGGGAAGTAACTGGGAAGGGTTAGGATATGCAGCTAAGACTGAGTTGTGTGTGCATGCTGGAATATTGCCACAGGCGGTTTGCCGCGTGATGTTGGGCCGCTATGGGGAGATGGAGTGATGGTAATAGTCTTTGGAGGAAAGGCATGTATCTGAGTAAAAATATGGGTTCTCGACAGATAAGAGTCAATTGGCAAATGTAGCAAGTAACCTAATGTAAACGATGAATGTTCTGTTCATAAAAAGAAAAAGAGTTTGGAGGACTGCACTAGGCATGCATAATGCTTCTCCCCTGCAGATAAGGCCGTGGTGCTATCAAGTATCGATTGAGGTGAGACAGAAATCCTTCACCGTCATTATCAGCATGCATTTTTGTATCTGTCCAATCCGAGTGTTATCCAAGGCAGCGTGCGCGCATTGCAAATTTTTACTTGTTCCTTACTGTTCGACGAGTGGTGGTTTGATATGAAAGAGCGGTTACCCGGTAGGAGATGATTACGACACGGTGAGAAATCTGACTGGGTATCGATGGATCTGTAAAAGCCGGCGAGATGTTGATCTGAAATTTACTGAAGTTATTTGTTATTTCAAGTAGTCGGTAATAACTAATGTGTTTGATATTATTATGGCGATGATAAAAAGCTGGTGGTATAATTGGAGTGAAGCGTGTTCTTTCAGTTTGAGTCACTCCACGCGCTATAATAACCGACGGTACTCATGCACCCTTTGGAGAAGCTCACCGCTGAATTATTAGTTATATGACTCATATGTAGCTTAATTGGATTTCAGTTGAGATTGGGGTAGAAGCAAAGAAAATGCTATGGCATACGTAGCTTTGCTTTGTTCTAGTGCACTTTGTAATGATAGTACAAGACTTTATAAGAGTGTAACGGATGTGATGAAACAGTTTATCAGTCGGAGGAGTTTTTAAAGCCTTGTTGGATATTTTACATATACGCACTCACCTGCTTCGAATTGGCTCTAAGCGCTGGTCTTGAATTGTGTACTTAATATATGCTGAAGTGACACTTCATGTTGATGGGGTCATAGCTAGTGTTATTAGGATAGTGATTATTGTTTATTAACATTAGATTGACATGAAAATCAAGTCTCTTTTCGAATGGTTGAGAAGACGAAAGCGTTAGTCGGAATCTTTTCGTGTCTGGGTTCTTCATGAGAATGGCGGCAGGTAGTAAAACCAAGCTATTTAATAAAGTATTGTATAATTTCTTCCATGCTTGAAACTCGAAAGTCCCTAAAACAAATAAATAGAGCATCTTATCTTATCTTTATTTTCGACAGCGTGAAATCTTTATGGCGCAATGGTTTATGTACGAATGGCTTCCCTTTTGCTTTTAGGAGTATTAGGCTTACCAGCGAGACGCACCTGTTTGAACGTCGTCCACACGCTGATTGAACTATTTGTTAATGGGAAATATTGAAGAATCGATTGCGTTGGTTAGGCGGCTGGCCAAGTTGATGGGGCTGAGCGTCTGGATTCATCTTCTATATGAGAGTCTAATAACCGGCGAATAATCCGGGGAGCAACAGAGGGAGTCAAACGAATCGTGAAGCCCCCCAAAGTGATTGGGCGGGCCCTGAGATGTGGTGGGCTGATATTTACCATAGAAAATCAGTAACTGAGATTCGTCGGAGGGTTGGAGGAGACTGTTTTACGTCTGGGAGAATTGTAGGGGACTAATATCTTGGAAAAGGGGGAAGCAATGGGAGGCTTGAAGAGACATATACGAACATCCGAGAGAGTTACATAATGTAAGCGCATGAATTGCTTAAATATATTGAACCCGGCCATCTTGGACCGTCTGAGTTACATGCTCATGACAGCTATGTCCTTTTTTGGAAAGACTCAGGATGAATGAGAGGATACTAGGGGCTATAGAAGCACCGTATCAAATAAAAACTTTTGGATAGTCCTAGTAGGGGCACAGTACTTATATCTCTAGGTGTGGGCGAACGAAGACTGTTGTTTTGGCGAGCGTTGATACCCCGTCTTAAGAACGAAGCTTAGCCCATAACGGTACTCTAGGGGGGACAATGGGATGATGCACATTACCATGCAGGATGCCGAGAATTTGGTATGTGATATATATTGTGGTTATTCCATCATGATCGAGACAGCTCAAGATGGATTGTATCTTCTAGACTTTGTGAGAACTAGGACGATGAGATGCTGCTTAGACTGGACGAGTACGCGGAGAAAATATTTACAACTTCAGGATCAGTAAATAGCATGAGGTTATTAAATGCTGCTTTTGCTTTCCGAGGTTATAGAGAGTCTCAGAACGACCCGTCTCCGCAGTAAATTTGGGGAATCATGAACGTGGAGTTTGTTGGAGTTTGTTGGAGCGCGTATGGAGAATATGGAGAATATGGGGTAATCTACAGAAACCATCAACAAACTTACTCATTCATGAATATGGAAACTAAATGTCATAATAATCGTTCAATCTTGATACTAAGCATGTATTATAGATATTTAATATTCATGTGGCGACCAAAGCTGCTGGTCTTCATACTGGAGATGCAAATACATAGCCACATAGTTAGTTACCAAAATCGCACTTGTTAAGTACAAGATCGTAAACAGTATGTAGACAGATATGAAGTACACTGCTACATTTACATAAGGTAGCACTTATAGAATGATTGATTGCACGGATAGCAGGCTGAGAGCTAAGGTGGTGATAGTACGATGCATTGCTTATAAGAGACCTACACTATTAAATCTCACGGCTGCCAAGACAGATATGCCCCAGTATGATATTATGTCTTTTAGTACGTAATACTGCTATTTGGTTGGTCAAAGATCAAATACGAAACCGGCCTGCTTACTTCAGTGATCTGCAGATCTCTTGGCTGGGCGCGCGGCCTTTTCTGGTTTCAGCAGCGTCAGACTTTCAAAGGGGGTGCCACATACGCCAAAGATGTAGTATCTCTTACCTAGCCAAGGAAAAAAATTGCTGTAAAACTCTATTGTTTGCTGTTATCATTCGTGAGACGGATGCAAGGGATGAGAAAAAAAATACGAAGCTGATTAGAAACCTGAAGGCTCAAGGGATGAGGAAATGGGGAACCGTCAGTTGTTAGTGCCAGCAGTGGCAAAGCGGTTGTTGGTACCAGCAGTCGAGAGGGCCCCTGCGCAGTAGGCTTTGTATAGTGTACCGCTGCTGTGTTGCGTGTGTATTACGAGGACAAGCCATGGCAAACGTGGGGAAGCAGCACGAGACACGAAACAGAATCGCCTGCGCCATTCTACGGACTCTCCGCACGGCCTATTTTTTTTTATCCTCTCGATCCTTCTCAGCCCAGCACCTGGCCTTTTGACCTTCTCCCTCTTCTCTCCCCCGGTGCGCAACCACTGCAGGACGACGCCAGATACCGACAGCAGCAGTTGAGAAATTGCCTGGTCTTCAGCCGGCGGATCTCCCACCGTGTCACAAGCGCAGCAGCAGCCGCTCGGAGGTTTTCGTTGGCGCAGCGCAGGCCCGGTGTCGTCATCGCTTCTGCTCCAGATCCACTCGGCAGGGGCTCGTCTCGCTGCGATAACGCCGTCATCGAGTTCGCTCCAATAAATAGCAACAGCATCTTGCCTCGCCTCGACTCCGCCGCCATCATGGCCTGGGAACTCACCCGACGACGGTTTGTCCGCGCCGTTAACAGCAAGTTCATCTATGGACGATTGGTACGTGCGCGCGCTAGACGGAGCAGCAAGACAAGTTTTCTGTTTCTGTTTTGCACCGCGGACTGATTGATTCAGTCACGTTGGCGGCTTTACTCTCGCATCCATCCACTCTGCTACTCAACATTATTGCATACAGCCTAGAGCCCATTGCTTTTTCTTTCTACGTATTTCAAATTTGTATAGAATTGCACTGACCGATTGCATGCACCGCTTAACAGCCTCTACTCCACACCATCATTTTTCTCATCGAAATGGCACTCGTTGCCCGGCTGACGGCGCGATTCAATGCGTACTATGAAGAACGACCTCGTACGTCTCCACGATCCATCATTCTATATATGGATATACACACATTTAATCTTCTACTAAAAATGAACTTAACTAACCAATTGATCCGCATCCACAGTCATGACCATGATGGTCACCAATGCCATCCTTGGTGGCATCGCCGATACCGTCGCGCAAACCATCACCTCTGTGCGCCAGCGAGCCCTCAGAAAGCCTGGTGGAATCACCAAAGACGATGACATCGCTATTGAGATCCACGAGCTAGATGAAAAGAACCCATTCCTAGACCGCGAACTCATTCCCGAGTCCAAGAGCCTGCCTCCGCCTTTTGACTTTGAACGACTTACAAGATTCATGGCTTATGGTTTCTGCATGGCCCCTATTCAATTCAGATGGTTCAAGTTTCTCTCATCGGTTTTCCCCATTACCAAGGGAAGTGCTTTTGGGCCTGCCATGAAGCGAGTTGCCTTTGATCAACTCATCTTCGCGCCATTCGGTGTGGGGGTCTTCTTTACGGCCATGACTCTGGCTGAGGGAGGTGGCCGCCGCGCAGTCGCTCATAAGCTACGAGACATGTATGTCCCTACGCTCAAAGCCAACTACGCTCTTTGGCCCGCAGTACAGGTTATCAACTTTCGCTTGATGCCAGTGCAATTCCAGCTCGTGAGTATCTGCATCTGCATTGTAATCTTTCTCTGTGTAGCTAACACTAGCCAATAGCCATTTGTCTCGACTGTTGGTATTGCCTGGACTGCCTATCTCTCCCTGACCAATGCCTCGGATTAAATTCAAGACAAGACGAAGTCGCCACCTTGGTGGAATCATCAACATGTCAGGAGTGCCACAGAGCACTCAATTGGGGAGGTAGCGGGAGGAAATGCGAAAGCTAACGCAATAGCCTGATTGAACACGATCCGATGTAAGTTGAAAGCCCATCGGAGCCGCCATTCAAAGAGTATGATACATGTTCTCCCTAAGATGGAATTTTCTGCTTTTTGCGACGGAGTTTGCAAACAAAGTAGAGGTGTTTGGAGTTTTGGCTACATCACTCGTTGATTGGATGTCTTGCTATGAGCTTTTTGAATCAAGGACACAGCACGACTCAGGATTTTGTCGCTCATCGTTTTGTATACCGGTTTAAAGTGAGAAATAAATCAAACATAAGCTACAAACGACGTTGACCAACCTTACACAACGACCAGGGCAAGTTATTTGAGCATTGTAGTAGACATGCGAGTATGGCGCATTCTAGATATTAATCAGTCTGTGAAAAGGGTTCAGATCAATGAAGTGGTGATATGACCTGACAGCAGTTCAAATCTACGTGATGTGTCACCAATTATCATTATAAACACAGGTGATAATGGCAACCATTCACATACTAAGCGTGATTTATGCCGTCAAATGGGCCTCACGTCACTCTGGCGTGGTCCGGATGCAGCAGATTAATGGCTCTTGACTGGTTGACCACTGAGGTACAGAGGGTGCCCCCACTACAGCTCCCTGTATTAATCAATCGATTAGCTGTAATCTATTGATTGCTTGCCAGCACGGACCCCACCTGCGTGAACCCCTCCATCTCTCTTGGCTGTCGCAGCTTAAAGTTCTGCGTGCTTTTTCTTTAAGAGTATTGCTATTCGGGCAGTAGATTTTTGCTATTCGGGCAGTACGCCCACCTTACCAAGCCTAATTAGGCCTAGGTTTATGCAACCCATCTTTTTACACCAAATTACAGTGTAAAGTCCTGGCAGCTAAAACTGTATACAAAGACCAGACAGTAGTTATTAGGTACTATAGCTAGAAATGCAAAATGAAGCTATTGCAACTGTGTTTTCTAGGGCTCTATTTGCGTTGCCGGGATAACTTCCTCAACCTCTGCAGCGGCATCTGCAGTGCTGCTTTCTTCTATAACTGCAAGGCGTTGAGTGCCTTGAGTGCCTTGAGTGCCCGAGGCCCGGCCGCGGCCTCTCTGTCTTCCTCCTCGATTTCCTCGGCCTCTATTGCTTCCTGTAACTCGTGATTGCTTTGGCCTCGTCTGCGAGGCTCCTTGACTAGCAGCTTCAACCTCTGCCGCCGTTCGAGTGCGCCGTATGCTTGAGGGTAGTCTCCGACCGCCCGGTTGACTAGAGGTCGGCAGGGAGGGCGTTGTAATTGGCTGCAAGTTGCGATTAACGGGAACTCTGCTATTCTGAGGCAATCTCGGCCGGCCTTGTAGATTCTCAACGACATCTGGGTCTCGGATTTGAAGTAGCGGCTTGTTTAGGTCCTAGGACGCCGGGTTAGTAGACTTTATATAGAAAATTGCAGGGAGAAATACCAAGGGCTTGTCTAGCCACCAGCGCGGGTGGATGACTTCCTTCGTTAACGGCGCTCCTTCTAAGATTACCTTCTCAGCGATATAATGAACGCAAGGCATTGCGTATTGTTGTGTGAAGTGGCATGAAGTTGCATATGGCGGCAGCGTTTTGTTTCCCTTTACAGCAGCCTCAGCGTGGCGATACTGCCGAGCAAGAAGATCAACGGCAGCGTAGCTAATTTGCGTTAGAAGCGATCCCAGCTAGGTCCGGCTGATGTAGTCCTGCCGCAGCTTAACCTCTTGCCTCGCGGCCGTTTGAAGATAATCTCGCTCTTTTTTCGCGATCATTTGCACAAGGGCTTCATGAAGGTGAAGGAGATCGCCTGTGCCGGTCAGGAGATACGTTTTAACATCCTTATGGGC